AGGTAGATCTATGAAATTTTTAATATCGTCTGAACTTGTGTCCAATTGACTGCAGCCAGTGTTACGTTAATAAGAGTAAATAATTTATAATATCTGATGTTATTCAATGTGTAGGATGTCGTGCTCAAACCATCTAAGTCATAATTATAGTTTGATTGTAAAATCTTTACATTATTCGGATTAACAGTACTCGCTACGTGTCCTCGATCTCGAATCATTCTATATCGGGCAATCTCCATTGGATAGCGAATAATGTCCTTCTTTAATCGTCGTAAAACACGCAGACCAATATCATCGTCTTCACCTCCCCTACAAGTAACTTTTCATTGAACAGTAAGTAATTATTACACTTGTTTCTCTCACCATCCCTCGAAAATGTTTGAATGTCCATTAACATCAACGTAATCACGTTGCTGAAATGCTGCTGCACCACCAAAGTATGTGGAATAGGGAAGTTTATAAGTATATTTATCAATAGCCACTGCCAGATGACGTGGTTGATCACTACATTGATACACGTTACGATCATCTTCTGGTAGAAGATCAACATCGTGAAATATAAAGCACGTATAGTTATTAAGTTTCATTGCTTCAATATATCCAATGTTAAATAATCTCGCACGATTGAAGAGATTATCATCTGAAGAAAAAACATATGAACGTTCGCTAGAGTATATTCATTCGTTTCCTGTGTAATATTACTTCTCCTCATCTGCACATCTTCTTTTACTCAGTAATGACTGTAAGAAGGTCTATGACATTTATTAGAGCTTAAACTTCACAGATATACTTTCTACATAAGTTGCGTATAAATTGCGACTGATCAAGTCACGCATTCGTCTCTTGCACGTCTAAAAGGTTTACATTTTGAAAAAGACCAGGTTCTATTCGTACTTATTCCATCGTTAACTTGTAGTTTTTATATGTTGCTTTTCTATCGTTCTGCAGAATAACACAACAAGAATTTATACTTTCATTTAAAAGAAGAAATCTCTTTTTCTTACCATGTTGATTAACAACAAAAATTGTATAATCGAGCTGTTGTTGTTGTAAAAATGGATTTAGATTATTTAAAAATAACTTTAAATGAATATCTCGATTACGATAGGAAACAATAATTGCTAGACGTTGACGTGGCTGACACGTCGTTGGCCACCAGTGACCACTTGATATTCGCTGAGAAAAATATCGTTGCTCAATATCAGGAAAAGTATACAATTGATTGTCAATTAGAACACGATGAGATGTTGATGAATTATTCATCATTATGTTTGTATCGCAATGTGACAAAGCTAAATATGTTTGATCTGGTAATGAGAATTTTAATGAGTATGATGCATTGCCAAACGATTTGTCAGTGTAATTTGACACAACGATCGATGGTACAGGTGATGATGAAGTACGAGAGACATTATGAACTCTGAAAAGGATCAAGTGATAAAAATACAAATATTACTAA